ATAACAGCTAATAGAGACTATATAGAACAGAGTGTAATTGCCCTTGTGGGTTTCCTACTGTAACTCTTTAAGAGAGTAGGAAAGCCTCCTTTTTCTCCCTGAAAGCAACTGGTTATTTTGAACTGCTGACTTCGCTAGTAGTGGGCCAATGCATAATCCACCATGCTACTGGAGATCCTTATGACCACCTTGGGTAGTGTAGTGTTTACATGTTGGGCTGCTAACCACAAAGTCAGCAGTTCAAAACTACCAGCCAGCTCTGTGGGAGAAAGATAAGGCTTTCTACTTCCATAGAGTTAGTCTCAGACTCACAGGGGCAGTTAGTTTATGCTGTCCTTTAGAGTTGCTATGAATCAGAATTGACAAAAGCTGAGTTTTGAGTCACTTTTATAAGGAGGGAAAGTTCAAACTATTTGATATTTGATATTCCCAAAGCTCAGTTTTGTCAATCACATCTTATTTTCAAGTCTTGTTTCAAAATAGGATCTTCCACTCTACAACAGTTACCACACTTAGTACAACAGTCAATAGAGCACCAAAAACAATCTTAAAAAATAATTAATAATAAATTCTATATAACCTAAAAAGCTAGTAAGCAGGAGGGTGGGGTGGGGAATAAACATCCTGGGGCAATTCAAGGTATCTGGGAAAGAACTTAGAAAAATGATGATCCTGTCTGGTGGAGCTCTTATTCCAGCAGATACAATATCCACCTGGTCCCCTATTTTCTTGGAACATGATAATCTAAGTATGAAGAAGTACTAAAACATGTTCTGAAAAGCCACTCGGCAATCAATGGCCAGTTCCAGGGAAGCTGGAAAACTCCACTGAGAAACACCCGAAGAATAAAGAGTAAACAAAGAGTTCATCTGGTAAACCAAAGTAAAACTTACTAATTCAAGGACCCTATAATTAGAGAACTATCTCCCACCTTGCATACACATTGGGAAAGGAACGACCATGAAAACTTGGTTACTTATTATTATTAATGATAAGAAGGAAAGCAGAGAGCATGGGGTATGAGTGAATACCAAGGAGAACACCACGACACTTTCGGCCTCACTAAATAAGGGAAAGTGAGGTTTGGACCTCAAACTTAAAAGAAGTTGCCCCATTCTCCTACAACAATCATAAATATTCCTCCCCTTAGTATCATGTATATTATAAATATCTTGGCATTTTACCACTAGCTTGTCTCACATCCATGGAAACGGACCCATTCCTCCTTTGGAATGTACTTTCTCTTTGAAATAAAGGCTTGGTTGAGCGAGACCTGTGCCTGTGTAGTACTTGTCTACCACAGTTGTTGAGACACTGACTGGGATGCCTCAGAAGGAGTGCGGGATGCCAGGGGACGCCCAGAGAAGGTAACACGCTGGCATCCCCGGGCACAAGATTAGCACACAGCTTGGTCTCTGACCCCAGGCTGAATGGGTCACTTAATTAGCTCCACTTAATTCTCGCTATAAAAAAACCCTATAAAACTACCTCATTAGATTATTTGACACACAGAAGACACTAAAGCAATTATGCAGGCACCACTGAGTGAAAATAACAACACTGGATACTAGCTTTAGACATGCTTATCTGGCCCATTTATTGCCTTCATTACTACTACTTTGTCCTCGTTTCTCCATTAAATTTAATTTCCAGGTAACTTTTATAAAAAGTGAAAACTTGCTATCTATAGCCCATGAAAACTATCAGTTAACCTGGGAGTCACTTGAACACAGAGGGAAAACAATTTTTTTCAAGTAGAAATTAGACTAATTTTCCCTAAAATTAAGTAACTTTACCACTGTAATTAGCAAATAAAGGCTATATAAACCCCTAGTTTTAAAGATTGGATATGGAAATAGCACATCCAATCTCCAGGACCTATAGTTTTGAAATTGTTCATGAAGTTGTCAACCTCGTTCACTGAATTAAAAAAAAAAAGAAAAAAAAAGGGCAGCCATGTAAAATCCATTTGTTAAAAACAGATCTTACTCTTGGTCCAAAGATTTAGTCAACGTGAGAAGGATTAGTGTCCAAAATTTAGAAGTGCCTCCATCAGAAATACCACAGCCTGCAGAATACATTACACTTCAATGTAATAAAAACAAAAATCCTCACAACTGAACTGAGAGACATCATGATAAATGAAGAAAATTTTCAATCTGTCAAGGATTTCATTCAGCACTCATGGAAACAGCAACTAAGGAATAAAACACTGTATAGCACTGGGTAAATCTGCAAAAAACCAAAAAAATGTATGGTCATCAAGTTGCTTCTGACATAGTGGGTTTCCAAGGCTGTAAATCTTTATGAGAAGAGTTTCATCTTTTTCTGAGGAGCAGCTGATGGGTTTGAACCTTTGACCTTCTTCAGTGACCAAACTAAAGTGTTAAAAAGTAAGATCTATTTAAAGTCACTTAAGAACTAAGGTGTGTGAGGGGGAGGCAGGGAAAGGACGTGGTATGCCAACAAAATCAGGGACAAGGGAGCAAGTGATCTAAAAATCAATGGCGAGGATGGGGTTTGATCAAGGGCAAAGTAGCCGAGAGGAATTACCAAAACACGAATGAAGGCTGAACATGATAGTGGGGCAAGAAGTAAGTAAAAGGAAATAGAGAAAAGAACCAGGAAGCAAAGGACAATTATAGAAGTCTAAATAAAGGCATGTACATATGTAAATACACTTATATATGACAATCTGGAAACAGATCCATGTACACCTATTTATTTGTTAAGAAGCAAGGCAGGAGACAGACATTGGGCCTCCACTCAGGTACTCCCTCCATGCAAGAACACTTTGTTCTAATACCTGGTGTACTGTGATGCTCACCTTCCCGACAAGATGGCTGAAGACAAAATGAGTGCATAAACAAGTGTGGTGAAGAAAGCTAATGGTGCTCAGCTATCAAAAGATATAATATCTGGGGTCTTAAAGGTTTGAAGATATAAAAGTGACCATCTAGCTGAGAAGCAACAAAGCCCACATGGAAGCAGCACACTAGCCTGTGAGGTGTTGACAGGATCAGGTATCAGGCATCAAAGATCCAAAACAAAAAATCATATCCCCTTACAGAAGGGCCACAAGAAAGAGATGAGCCAGTCAGGGTGCACACAACTGAAAAAACACACAACTTTCCTCTATTTCTTTAATGCTCCCCCACACACACACACTGTCATGACCCCCAATTCTACTTTACAAACCTGGCTAGATCAGAGCATGTATACTGGTACAGCCAAGAGCTTGCAACACAGGGAATTTATGACAAATATCTCAGACCCAATAATGAGAGTAGTGATACCAGGAGGGAAGGTGGGGGGAAAAAAGGGGAACCTATCACAATGATGGACATATAACACCCCCCCCCCACACACACACACCTACACCAGGGGGAGGGACAACAGAAAAGTCCGTCAAGGGAGGCATGAAAAAAATAATTTATAAATCATCAAGGGATGGTGAGGGAGGGAAGAGGGGGGCGTGTAAGAATTAAGGTGTGTCTGCTGCAAGCCATGGAATCTTTCAATTGCCTCAAATGCTCGGGGAGCTGGATCATGAAGGAAGCCCACAGAACTCATACATTTGAACTATGTTCAAATAACTTCCAAGACTAATACCTGTGGGCAGCCAGAAAAATAAATTTATCTGGGAGAAAGTCAGAATGCTTCTTAGAAGCAAGGATGGTGCTCACCCGCTTGGATACATTCAAATAGTCTGAACTTTCCATCTTTATAAAAGTGACTCGAAACCAACCTTTTCTCTGGAAAAGGACCTCATGCTTAGTAGAGGGGTCAGTAAATTAGAGAAAGACCTTCAAGAAATGGATTGGCAGACACAGTGGCTGTGACAATGGTCTCGAGCATAGTATTTGTGAGGATGGTAGAGGATCAGGTAGTGTTTTGTTGCATGCAGGATCACTGAGTCACAGCCAATTCTATGGCACCACATGGGAAAGCACATCCTGCAGCTACTCATTAATATAACTATCACATGCAGGGCGACCTGGTGGCACAGTGGTTAACCCCTTAGCTGCCAGAACAGTTCACAAGATTCCCTGAGGAAAGATGGCAGTCTGCCACCATAGTTTCAATGCTTTGGACACCCCAAGGGTCAGTTTTCCTCTTTTCTATATGTTACCATTGAGTGGACACCGGCTCATAGTGACTATAGGACAGAGCAGAATGGTCGCTGTGGGTTTCCAAGACTCTTTCCAGAAATAGAAAGTGTCATCTTTCTCCCACTACCCACACCCACCGGGGCTCCTACACGCTATAGGCTTGCTAATTGTTCAGAAAGGGTAGGGGAACATCTTTTAAAGTGGCTTACAGGTATCAGTTTTGATTAAAAATAATTCCCGATGCACTGCCTTAAAGTGGGAAGGTCCTGATACACAGCACTAATATGCACACACACCATCAATCTGCCTGAATTCACAGGGAAAGTTTTGACCTTAATCTTGGGTTTCAAGTCCTTAACTATAACGGTTTGAGTTTTAATAGAGAAGATGACTGTCTCTCTCTAGTGGAGATCTGAGAGTTGGACAAAGATGTATTGTCTTTCCCAAACCAAACAAGCAACCCAGAAAATTATGCTCTTCGGAGCTTCAGAAGAAACTCCTTTCTCCTGAGTCCATCATGACAACAGCCTCCCTGGAACGAGGGCTTCCCAAATACGGTGGCAGAGCACGATCTGCCAGTCCTGACGGAGAAATAAGTTGTCGCTCTTTTCAAATCAACTCCGAGGGCCTGAACTGCCAGGCTCTTCCTCAGGGGTAGGAGAGGAAGAGCAGAGGGCGAAAGGTTACGGAGCAGGAGGGTGGCAAGACTGCCAGGCCCACTGCAGCCACCCGAGAAAAGGGCGGTTGACCTTCTCCGCTCACACGTGAGGGCTAACACGTGCGGTCGCGGAAGCTCGCCCGGCAGTTGCTCGAATCGCGCTTCTCCTCCCCGCCCTCGCGCGGTGGCGGGCTCCCTCCCCACCAACCACTGCCCCGGGCCCAAGCTACCTCTATGGGCGGTGGCGCAGCCACGCAGGCTGAGAGACAATTTCTCGGGTGCCACAGTGGTGTCGCTTTACAGAGCGGGCCTCGCCCCTTCCAGTACAGGACCCTGCTATTTGGGTCAGGTGTCTAGCCCGTGCAAGCCTTGAGCAGTAGCAGTCCACTAAACTAGTTCCTAGCCCCGCCCTCACAGCGAGCGCAAGGCACGCCGGGTCTCGTAGTCCGGCGCGGAAGTATGGCGAACTTCCGCTCTCTTCCCAGAACGGCAGCACGTGACTGGCCGTTCGCCGGAAGTGACATCACAACGCAACCGCGCGAAGGCCACCGTTTCCGCAAACAGAATCGTGGATTCCGGTTCTGGTGAGTGTGGGGGCTGGGACTACAGCCCTTTGCTTTCTCTTTGTGTTTTGCTTTTCCGCTGCCGTAGCGGTGATGGGACTTTCGCCTCCTGGCTTAGACTCGCCTCGCGGTAGCCCTGTACCTTACTACGTACCTGTCTCGGGGGCGTTATTGTGTCCGCAGCCCGAAGCAAAATGGGTACCGCTAGTCGAGGCCAACAGGCGCAGTCCTCAAGTCTGAGGAAGTACCCAGGCCGCGGCCCCCTCCCATTTTAGATCGCAGAGACTAGAGATCATTAAGCTGGTTCTAGCTGGTTCGAAAAGCTTGTTTCTTTTGCGCAGGGGGTTAAGTAAAGTGCTAGACCGCGCAAATGATGGAAGGGCGTGCATTTTCCTGAAAAATTACCTTTATTGCATGCGTTTAAGAAGCTGACGCAGGCCTACTTGAGCTTTAACTTGGTGGCCTTGGACTACTCAGACATTCACTGTAAAACTGAAATGAAAGACAGACGTGGTTTACCTCGAAAGTGTGACTGGAAACCTGATCCAGTTTAAATTCCCTCAGATTGAGTGACAGCTATTTCTCTCGTTTGGAGATGATTCATTCTACCATGATGCAAAACATTCCTGTTGCTTTTCCACGGCTTTTTGGAAGGCCGTATCATTTTTTAAAAAATTGGTTATCTTTTTGTGATGTCACATCTGTGGAAATAGAGTTGTTTGTAGTTACAAAAAGGAGCCCCAATAGCAGAGTGGTTAGGCGTTGCGCTTCTATCAGCAAGGTCAGTAGTTTGAAACCACCAACCACCTGGTGGGAGAAAGATGGGAGTTTTCTGCTTTCAAAGAGCTATCGTGTCAGATATTCACAGGGGCCAGGGCCAGTTCTCCCCGGCCCTATAGGGTTATTCTGAGTCAGCTCTGACTAAAAAGCAGGCAGTGAGTTTGGTTTGGTTTTGTAAATACGAAGGAACCCTGGAGGTGTTGTGGGTTAGGCCTAGGAGCTATATAAATATAATTCAGGCTTAAATTTCTGCTAATTTTAGGTTATAAATACAAGTACAACTAAAGAAGATAGATTTCCCCAATTAACAGCACCACCAGGGCTCCTTAGATATATCTGATGACTTTATTTTAATTAAGCAACCCTGGTGGCGCAGCGGTTTTAAGCCCTCAGCTGCTAACTAAAAGAACAGCGTTTGGAACACACCAGCTTCTGCAAAACCAGCTTCAGTCTACTTTTTCTTAGAGGGTCTGCTATGATTTACAGTTGATTGGATGTCAGTGGGCTTGGGTTTGATTATTTGAATTTAAAGCCTATTATTAGGAAATAAACAGAGGTATAAACAGAGAAGATAGGGCTTTGGAATTGGATGAATACTTGTTCTAGATGACTATTTCAAGTAGTTCTGTGGAATTTGGGGGAGCGTGTTTTTTGTTTTCTACCTATTTTGGCACCTGGATATTTTCCTCCCTCATTAGTAACTGCCACTGAGATGATTAAAAAAACTCACAGTGATCCCATATAGGTCAGAGTAGGACAGTGCTTCATAGAGTTGTCAAGATTGTAACATTTTGCCATAAGCAGCTCGCCTGTCTTCTTAGTTACCACTGGGTGGGTTTAAACTCCCATTCTTTCAGCCTGTGTTTTAACACCATCATTTGCCCTATCTGCTTTCCTTTGAAACCTTCCACCCACTCAGGGACTAGTGATTTCTTCTTCCTTGTTGTTCCCTTAAACAAGTTTGAGTAAATTTGTTGAATAAATGGAGCACTATAACAATTCCAGTCCAATTGTTATTTCTCTCTCCTTCCCATTTTGCAAGGAGTCCTTGTCAAAGGCTCTGCTGGAGAAAGATGTGGCAGTCTCAGTATAGATTACAACCCTATGGGGCAGTCCTGCTCTTTTTGTTCCCAAACAGGGCTATAGAATAATTTAGGGATCAGAATAGAAATAGAAATAATACTTGTATGTTCCTAAGTTATTTGCCAGTTTTAATGCCAAGAGTGACGTTCATGAGTAAGATTATAGATATATTTGACTATCAGGGCTATCATACTACTTATAAACCAAACTCACTGCCATACACTCACTCCTGACCCATAGAGGCTCCATAAGACAGGATGCAACTGCTCTTGTGCTTTTCTGAGACTGTAATGCTACAGCAGCGGTTCTCAACCTGTGGGTCGCGACCCCTTTGGAGGTGGAATGATCGTTTCACAGGGGTCGCCCGATACATAACCATAGCAAAATTACAGTTATGAAGTAGCAATGAGAATAATTTTTTGATTGGGGTCACCACAACATGAGGAACTATTAAAGGGTTGCAGCATTAGGAAGGTTGAGAACCACTGCTCTGCAGGAATAGAGAGCATCAACTTTCTCTGTCAGAATAGCTGGTGGTTTCTAACTGCTGATCTTGCAGTTAGTATAACCTACTATGCCACCATTGTTCAGAAACTCACTTATATTATGCATGCATTATATATATATATTACATAATTGTATGTGATGTTTATATTGCATAATTTTAAAAATGTTCTTGCTGCTGTGTGACTAATAAAAATTCATATTTGATCAATGAAATTAAATGACTTAGCCAAATTTTAAAAAAAATCTCAGTCTTATTGTTTAAAAACAATATCAAATTTTAATCATTCCAGTGTTGCTTTGTGAAATTTTACCATCGGTCCCAATAATCAAAAATGGAAAATTCTGGAAAAACTGATGAATGTGAGAGAATCTCTTTTGAAGAGACAAAAGCATCAGAAAATTCTGAAATAGAGTCTTCATATGGTATTAATGAAAACACAATAGCTTCTGAGGTTGGGCCTTTAGAAAAAGCTCCTACCTTGGAGCAAGTAGGCACCTCAAAAAATAGAAAACTGGAACTTGAAGATGGTTTTATAAAGGAAGGTTCCAATTGTGGGAAAGATATTTCATGCAACAAAAGAAAACTTGATGCTGAAATTGATCCAGAGGACAAAGGTTTTGAAAATGATGGCATTTCAAAGAAGAGGAAAATAGAAGCTGATGACGTTCCAACAAATGTATCTTCCATTGGAGCTGGCGTTCAGCAGAAGAGAAAAATAGAACTTGAAGATGTTTCTGAAAAACAGAAAGTATGTTGAATCTGTTTTATTTTATTCTTAATGTAGTATGTCAAGTTTAAATAAGGAATACTATTTTTTAACATAACCTTAATAATATAAGAATGCTTTTAATAGGCTATTGTCTTGGGGCAAAGTGGGCTTTTAAACCTTTACAATTATTCATATTTAGGTGAAACTTCCTTTACTGGTCAGTTAATTTTGTTATTTCAGAATGCTTGTTTGACTAGAACGTGGATCCCCAAACTTCAGGGGGGAAAAGACTACATAGGACACTAGGGAGAACAGGTAGAAAACTGTTGTATTAATCATAAATAATAATTTTTAAATGTTGCCATTGGGCATAGCCTTGAATTCTCATTTCTTTACATGTATTATTATGTCATTTAATTCTCACAACAATTTTAAATAGAAATTTAGCTATGATTACACTTTATTCCTTTGTAGGTACTCCATCTATTGTTGTTTATAGAATAAATTAGAACTCTGGAAGAGTATTGGGTTTATTAAAAATTGACACTAAAATTATCTCAATAATAGGGCAAGATGAAACTATTAAACCCAAAGATGTTTTTAAAACTAGAAAACATAGAGAAGCAAATTTTGTTCTTAATTGTCAGGATTTCTGTGGTTAGTGGCATTGCTTAGTGAGGTTTACCAATTTCTAGAGAGTTTTAGCTGTATATGGGCCAGGTCCACTTTTAGGTTTATCTTTACTATGTTTTGATCCTTCATTTTGTTCCATTCTTATTTTCAGAGCTTAGAAGAAGGGCATAGCTCAACGGTGGCTGCTCATTACAATGAACGTCAGGAAGTTTGTTTGGAGAAGCGTAGCCAAAGCCGTATTTTTTACCTCAGAAACTTTAATAATTGGATGAAAAGTGTTCTCATTGGTATGATTTTTTAAAAAAATTTTAGCTAATTTCTCATTTTTCCCTCCCCAAATGGTTGACTATACCAAGCTCCTAGGCCTTTAATCTGTCTTAATTTAATAAAGTTGGAGAAATCCTTTTAGTGTTTACTTTTGTTTGAATATATAAGATATTAATAAGTAATTAATATGCATACTTAGAATAACTGCTTTTTAGCATCAACTAAACAAAACCCATTGCCATTGAATTGAATAGAACTGCCTTAAAGGGTTTCAAAGGTTGTGAATCTTTACTGGAAACAATACCACATCTTTCTTCCATGTGGTAGCCAGTGAGTTTGACCCACCAAATTCATTTAGCAGCAGGGCACGTTAACTATTGTATCTCTGTAATTCCATTTAGCTCTAATAGGTTTGGAGCAATGGGAGTCCATAGGTGGTACAGTTAGTTTGCCTGAAAAGGAGGAGAGGTTCAGTTCCAGTTCATCCAGAGGCTGAAAGTCTACTTTTGAGAAATTAACCGTTCAAAACCCAGTGACAATCAGTTTTCAAAGATGAGCTGTAGTTGACTAAAAAGCAACTGGTTTTTACTGGTTTTACTAGTTTGGGTCATATGATTTCAAAATGGTTAAAGTGAGAATTGGGCACACTATTTTGAATACATTGTAATAATTTTCTATCCCACTTTTGTTCATAATCTTTTTGTGTGTGTTTATCTTTTTGCTTTTTAAATCATTTTATTGGGGGCTCATACAACTCTTACCACATCCATGCATCAATTGTGTAAAGCATGTTTGCGCATTCGTTGCCCTCATCATTCTCAAAACATTTGCTCTCCACCCAAGCCCCTGGCATCAGCTTCTCACTTTTCCCCCTCCCTCCCCGCTAACCATTAACCCTTAATAATTTGTAAATTATTATTTTGCCATATCTTACATTGTTTGACATCTCCCTTCACTCACTTTTCTGTTGTCCATCCCCCAGGGAGGAGGTTATATGTAGATCCTTATAATTAGTTTCCCCTTTCCATCCTACCTTCCTGGTATCGCCATTCTCACCACTGGTCCTGAAGGGATCATCCGCCCTGGATTCCCTGTGTTTCTGGTTCCTATCTGTACTAGTGTACACCCTCTGGTCTAG